AAATAAATAATATTAAACAATGGTAATTTTTATCATTTGAAACTTTTGAGGGCACCCAGTATCCCTGATTCTTCAATTATTTAAAAATGTGTGGTCATCAGACATGGGGTCACCTGAGACAGATGAAGTAGTGTTGGGTGACTACAGCATTTTCTGTGGCAATAGCTCAACCATAAAAAGCAGCACCTGTCACTTCCCACCTGCGTCCGCATTCCACACTCTACACCTACAAGTAATTAGACGAGGTATAAGATAAACTCAGCAATAAGCTAGTAGGATGGTTAATGCATATTTAAAATGTATGAAAAGGTGCTTCTCATGATCTTTCCAGGCCATCCATTTAGAAGATCACTATAGAAATCCATTTCATTGAAATGGATAGGATTATATTGCACAATTTTAAAGGTTTGCAAAACAAGTTTTTGGCTGACAGACATTCTTTATGGGTTCACTAACTTATCTGGGAAAGAATAATTAAGTTCCAACTCCAGTCTAGTCCAAGGCAGGCTCTCAAGGGGACTCCTATGGGCTATTGATACATGCTTGATCAAGCAGTGAAGCATGGAGGTCTGAGCTCTGTCTGCGTCCATCTAGTCAGCATTTCCTTCTGGGCCATATTCCCAGGGTGAAAAGCTGCTTTCCATTAAGTGTGAGCTATTTATATATAAATGAGTAAGTATACCTGAAAGAGAGAAAATAGGATAGATTGTTTTGTCTTCATTGCTTTTTTTTTTCTTTTCCTTTCCTCTGCTTAACTTTGTCTTTGTAGTTTAGGATTTGAATGACTATGACTTTATCTAACTGCCTCTGTGGATGTTAATGGCCAAACTGTATACATAGTCCATTGTCATTTAATTCAGCCATTAAAGTTAAGTTGAGCCCTGAAGCTTTCTTTAGAGGTGTCTATGATGTAAAAAGAAAAAAGAAATTGGCTTGGGAGCCAAATTAACTTTCATTTGAATCTCAGCTTAGAGACATACCCTCGGTGGGACTGGGGGACATCATTGTCTGGTGTTCAGCAGGACCTCAAAAAATAGGAGACTGCTGCCCTCACTTTCCGCTGCATTGCCTGTCACGGTTTCTGTGGGACTGTGGCTGAGGAGAGGTGGGAAGTCCTGAAAGTCTGGATGGTGGTTCCAAGAATGGCTTCTGAGCCTTCTTCTGAGTCTTGTTGGGGTAACTGGCATGATAGTTCTAAGAGCTAAATTTTGTTTTTTGAGTCTTGTTTCTTCAGGCCTTGAGAGAATTACTTGAACTTTGTAAAACTCTACTTTTCTCCGCTCTTAAATGATAATAGTAATACCCCCTAAAACGTATGGTCTTTGCGAGAATTAAAAGATAGTGCATGTAAAGAAATTTGTGCAGTTGTGTGGCCTAAAATAAACGTGCAGTGTAACTTGATAGTAATACAATGTTATAAAAATGATGACAAAGCAATGGATTGTGCATCTCTCTTATTTTTCCTCTTCTCTTCCACCCCTCCATTCTTTTCTCCTATTTTCTATGGAGAGGTCAAGGCAGGGATTATAAAGTCAATATGAGAAGGTGGAAGACTTACAAGAGCAGCTCAATCAACCTATACATTTTAGAGTTGGGAGTAAGAGAGGCCCCTGAATTCTGATCTTGAAAGATACTTTAGGACCTTTGCCTTTTGAAAATCTCCCAAGCAGCACCTGTATAAAGGAAATCTACTTCTTTTATGAAATTGTTCCTGATTAATATTATTAACTTCCTCTTATTGACCCAAACCCATACATTGATGTTTCTTTTTGTGCATTTGTATTTATCAATTCTCCACAATCGAGCTTTCCTAACTTTACAGTACATTTTCATCTATGTGCATATTTATTGCTCATCAAAAATAAAAATAAAAATTAATGCATTCGGATACTTATTGACGTTTCTTATACTTTGTAACTTCAAAATCATTTAACCTATTTTGCTTTATTAAATGTAGAGCAGTGAGCAAAAAACTAGAGAAAATGTGGACCCTGCTTAGATAGACGGGACTTAGATGCTAAGTTTAAGTCCACCTCTACATTCTAGGCTCTTAAACCAGTTACCTAACTGTTTTCTGCCTCAATTTCCTGTTTGATAAAAACTCAGTGGGCTTCCAACTGGATGATGATAATGAAAATTAAAGGAAATGATCATAGAAGAAAGCTTCATATATAGAAAATACAGAATGAATGTTAACTAATAATATTACTAATATAAGAAAAATTTTCAAGCATATGCATTCTTGTGAAAATAATAAATACTTTTTGAAACACGAGTTTTCTCACAAATTTTCAAAGGTAGAAGAATTTGCATATGTACAGTTTTGCAAATAAGACAGTAGAAGTAAATGGAAAACGGTCAGGTGCAAATGGAAAATAACTATCATCACATAAAACAACTAGTCTAAAAGAGTAGTTTCAGAAGTTCTATTGCTTTATCATAAATCAACATCATTTAAATTGGGAATTCAAGAAGTAATTTGATAAACAACTTTTTAACAATTGGCAGTTTTTTCTCTAGTATTAACCAACAATTTAATAAACATTATCTTCCTCTTATAATTACATTTAAAATCATAGTGCTCAAATAGTTCTATTATCAACTAGTGTGTTCTTTAATCTTGAAGCTGCAGCCATGTACCAAAAACAATTTTCCCAACTCTTAATTAAGCAAAATTCTTTCCTAGCATTGCTATTTTAGATAAGGGTACCATTCTAGGATTGTCATATAAGTCAGTAAATCATGGTAGGATGTAAGAATATCATAGGTTTGTGTTCTTTTAGATATTTTGTGGCAATAGATCAAAATTTCCATTCTGGGAATAATTGCAGCGGTGTGCAGTAAACTTCCATCTTAAAACCTGTAGAAGATAAAGAAAAGGAAAAAAAATAGTGTATTTTCTTCCCTTTGATTTTTTTTTTATTGTTGTTGTTTATATAACATGCAGCATGGTGGTTGTAAATAATAGTTATGAGCAAAGACGCTGTTTGTATCTGGGCCTCCCACATTTTAACTGTGTGACTTTGGTTAGCTACTTCTTTCAAACTTGGTTTAGTCATTTGAAAAATGGGAACAATAATGTTACTAAACTACTGAGAGAATTAAGTAAGTTAAAAATACTTAGTAAGTCCCCATAAAGATGTTTATAATGATTTATGCTGGAAATACAGTTGTATATATCTATTTGTACACTTAGCATCAAATCACATGCAATTTCCCATCAAATTATTTTTCAAAACATGACTTTAAACTGTTATATAAAATATCATTGTGACTTTGTTTCCTAATTTTGAACATTCAGTAACTTTCCACTCTTTTCAAATTTTTAAAAAAATAAATAATATAGATAGTCTTTGTTCTTATCTCTGGTTTTCTCAGGAGAAATTCCATAAAGAGGAATTACTAGGTTAAAAAACAAGGAAGTTTTTAAGGTCCCTTGTGGTGCAAATGGCAAATTTGCCCTTTATCTTCCCTCTAGTATGTCTGACAGTGTTCATTTCTTTATACCTTTGTTAACAGTGATGTTTTTTTAAAAATTCACTTTATTTTGAAATCACGTGTGTCTTTCATGTTTTGGTAACTACTTTTATGACCTTTTGTGGGACATGGACTATTTCCTCTGAGCTTTACGTCGGGCCGAAGACAGTTACCAGTCTAGTGCTCTAGCTCATGATGTCTGCCTGTGTCAACTCCCCTATTCCAGCATTCAGCAGCGTATGTGAAAGAAGTCAGCTGGCATTTTCAAAATGAGGGTTATGAATCTGACCGATATTCCCCAAAGATTTATGAACTATAAAATGGCATTATTATTATGTCCTGTCATTGCTTTGTGCTTTTTAGCAGTCTTCCATTTTATGTGGTGTAAAGCTCCTAGGATCCATTTTCATGAAAGCTACCATGTGAACTCATTTTGCATTGTATTGTGGCGAACACTATAATCTACAGGGTTCCTATTCATTTTGGAATTCATTTCACAGCTCACTAATTGTGTGAATGAGCAGAGGAAATATATGCTTTTATTCCGAAGCATGCCAGGCAGATGGCCCGAAGTTCATTGCTACCAGCACTGTCAGGGTGGCCCTGTTCTGTAGGTAGTGAGCCTGGCATCGATCCATCAAACACAGTGTGAAGGTCCATTTAACACAGCACTTGACAGTCACCGAGTGTCTGGTTTGCTGGGACTTACAAACATTTTGTTTCTTATCATCAACCTCTAAAGTGGTCAGCCATTTGAGCAGGTGCAAACACAGTAGAAAATTCATATTTGTTTTACTTGAGAAGCCAAAATGAATTTTATTCATATGGAAATCTTGGTTAAAGAAACAGTACAGGAGATGAAGGCTAGTTTCTTGAAAAGGGATTAATACGTGTGCTGGGAGTCAAAACTGTAGCATCATTTCTGAAATTGAAACTTTGGAAAAATTGGACTGAAGAAAAGATCAGGTTTTATGTCTCTAAGCTTCTTTCAGGTGAATCTACTTTCAAGTCTCTTTTTTTCTTCCTGTACAAGGAAATTTTTTACTTACTCACTTTTATATACAATATGCAGTTTATGTAACCACTCGAAATGTCCCCAATTGCATTCATGGTGCGTGTGTGCGCGCACGCGCGCGCGCGCGCGCGCGTGTGTGTGTGTGTGTGTGTGTGTTGTGTGTAGTGAGATAAAGTATCATTCCTCTTTAGAGACAGAAGGAGTGACAAAAGATGAAATCATGGATTTCACACATTTCCTACTTCAACAGAAGCAGGACAATATGAATTGGGTTATCGCTACCGGAAAGGGAGCATAGGTCAAATGCCATAATGGAGCTGGATGTAGTAATTTGATCACAGTATCTTACTTAAGAGAATCAGAGAATGTGGAGATACTGTTTTCTCCCTCAAACAGAGAAAAACTGGCTGTGTATTTCTCTCTCCCCTCTCTTCGCCTCCCTCCCAAGCCACCTCCCATAGGTTCACCCATTGTATTGACCCATGTTCCCTTCTCTCTCGGCTTTCAGACCGATGCTGCCCTAATGTACGACGCAGTGCACGTGGTGTCTGTGGGCGTCCAACAGTTTCCCCAGATGACAGTCAGCTCCTTACAGTGTAACCGACACAAACCCTGGCGCTTCGGGACCCGCTTTATGAGCCTGATTAAAGAGGTATGTCAGGAGAAACATACCGCCTGGTTTCTTTGTCCTGACGGTGAATGAATTGAGATGACTGCAGTTTTTCTAAAAGTCCTTTTATTGTATCTTTTAAATTAAAATTACCCCATATAAGTAAAATTAACATTTTGACTAATAAATAATATGGAACAAAAGGAGGAAAGTACCTAATAAATGAATATCCTTCAAAATATCTAAGATTGTGTAAACAGTTGAAAATTTGTGACCTATGATTTGTGACATTGTTAATCTTTACCATCCTGAATCTTTATATGTGTTAGTTTTCAATTATGTGGACATATATATGTTTAAATAATGTTTGTTTATATTTTAGGCAACAAAATATGCAATGAGCTTTTAACATGAACTCCATTTACACTACTCTAAATTACACCCAATTTGTAAGTCTTAAAAGAATCGTTATTTAGATCTGTAGTTCCTAAATATAATGTCTAGTTATTTTAATTATAATTATAGTAGCAGTTAACATAAAACAGATACATGGATTCACAAACGTGCAAAGTTTACTTTGTATTGCATAGCGCACCATTCTTATAGCCAAATATCATTTCTGTTATGTCTGTTATAGAAAAAGCATGTCCTTAGTAAGGAAAAAAAGGGAAAATTCTTAAAGTCCATACATACATATACACACATTCTTCTTCCTGCCATGAAGAAAATTCCTTTGTCAGCTTAGGAAACTTCTCATTTGGTTAGAATAGGAGCTTTTATATGAAAGTTTAATCTTTGTTATGAAAAATCACAGGTGTTTTTCCATATAAGCTATTTCATTAGTGGATTACAAGATATCGGTTTATCATATGACAAAGTATTCAACATGAATATAAAAGTGCAAATAGGTTCATTATTAAGAGTCTCTTAGTCCTTGGCAAAGAGTACCTTCACTTTTCCTTGCCTAAGTCCCACCAGCTCTCAGATAGGTGAAATGATTCTCCCTGACGAATACGCAGTTAATTTATTACTCCACATTCTGCATTTATTTTTGGTTTGAAATTGAGCATAAGAGAGCTGCATACGTAGTACACAGCTTTGGTTAGTTGAAGAACTGCTTTCTGAATGCAGCACTTGAACCTGGAGGTATATGCCCAACGGTCTTGTTAGAAACAACTGTATGAAACTCGCTATTATATTTATGTTAGAGTGTTAATGAGCACCTTGTCCACTACATCACACAGGGCCACTCTTACGGGGACCGAAAGGAGACAGTTCTCAGGTCTCAGTACTAGGAAAATCTAGTATTGGGCCATTGGTATGTCTTAAATTATAAACCTTGTATATTGTGTTTAGATCATATTATCCTTCATTGCTTTGATTGCTAGAAGTTCAGAATTGAATCTGTGATTTAATTTTATTGATTGTAGTTTCCCCTGATGTCTTTGTGCTGTATCCCACATATATTTTACTATTCTGCAGTTCTGCTCCTGCACTTCTTGATCACATTGTAAATTTTAATACTAATATGCGTTTTTATTAAACACCTGAATTATTTTCTTTGGAAGAAGTTGTGTTGAAAAGTAATGTTAACAGGTTTAAACTCAGTGATGATGTTGAAATATGCATGTAGATATGTATTATAATTTTTTCTCTTTTGCGTATAATCTTCTAGCCAAAAATATTTTAGAATATTCTTTAGAATATTTTCTAGGGTATATAAATTCTCAAGAAATACATGGAGCCTAAGAAATATAGTAATAATCATATCTATTGTGGTCCTAATTGGAATGTTACCTATCGTGTACTGGCTTTTACTTTTTTTGGGTGTTGGTGTATATTCTTTCAAACATTACAGTTCCAAGTATATATTACATTAATTAAATTTTTCATATAACTATTTTCCATGCTATTTCCAAGTGATAAATAATAGAAAGCATCTAATTTTTGTCTAGATAGCAGAATGAGAAAACATTTTGTGTCTCAAAAATAATAATAATAAGACCAGATACTTGCTCACCTTTGAGGGAGGAACCCACTATATAACTAGATTATTATATATATTCTCACTTCGTACATGGAGAGCTTCTTCTATAGGAAGTATAGCTTGGTGTGAAGTAGTGTTGATACATTTCTCCAAATCTCACTTAAAGGGAAATAAAGTAATAAGTTTTAATTACTCTAAAATGAAAGTGCATAATTGAAGTTTTATAACATAGGTTTTCCTAGCTTCAGTTGCTTTCATTGCAATAAAATAAGTTTATTTTCATATTGGTATGAATTCAGGAGTGGTATTTTATAACAGTAGTTCTATTTGTAATCTCCAGGGATATATTCACTATCTCATATATCATAAAAAAGTGACTGAATTCTTCTTGTTTTGCTAAAAGAAGTTTGCTATTTAAAATGTAATCTTCAAATTTCTCATAAAAAATCATACCTGGAAAATGAACTATTTAAAATGAAAAATTTACAAGAAATTTCATACTGATACTACCATAACTTATTTTTTAAAAATCCCTCAAAAAGTTCAGAAGAGAATAAAAAATGCTTTAAAAATCTTTATCAATGTAAATTTATGAGAAGTAAGAAAATCATGTTTTCTATACTTTATGAAAAAATATTTTCTCTTCTCTTCTTCCTTTACTTATTTACAATTTTTTCTTTTCTAATAGGCACATTGGGAAGGTCTCACAGGCAGAATAACTTTCAACAAAACCAATGGTTTACGAACAGATTTTGACTTGGATGTAATCAGCCTCAAGGAGGAAGGTCTGGAAAAGGTACTGGGGGCAGTCATCTTATTTTTTTTAGTATTGAATAAAACATCTTAATGGAGAAATAAGGATATAGTCCCTCTTGTAGTCATCTTTCATTGACATTTAACTTTATTGAATAACTGAAAAATACATCTTCAGTTCATTATGTTAAATGTAACCAGTTGACAATTAGTCAAGGATAGAGGGTGTCTAAAGACAACTTAACATTTTAGTTTCCCATCAAGTTTTTCTGATACTTTGAAACACCTATAATTTTAATTAGCCTTAAGGTTTAATATAGTAATTAGAAAATATTTATGTATCTGCTCATATAGACTTTCCTACTTGGAGCAGAAAATGAAAAGAATTAAATACAGAAACATGTTTCCATTGCTGGGTCATATTCAAGTAAAGTGTCTAAATTATTATAGACAAGGCTAATTACATATGAACATAAACCTATTACACTGGATCTATCTTAATTAATTCTATTTCCACGGATTGAAGTAAAGGACAGGCAAGGCTTATAGAATTTGGGTATGTGCTTCCTTTAAGAATATTTTAGTATAAGTTTGCTTATATCTGTAATACATGCATTCAGATATTTTTTTCTGATTCATTGAAAATTGAGGTTAAAAATATACTGTGATAAGTTGAGAGAAATTATATTTGTGGTCATATTGCTTTAAAGATAGTAAGGTCCCTTATATTTCATCTTAGAATTGAACATGGAGCATTATCTGTGGATCGAAATTAAAGAAGGAAATTGAGTCAGAAAGGGTCTTCTGGCCTGAGAGATAGGAGCATTCTAAACGCTGATTCAAACAATTCTGGAGAGAAAGCAAACATTTGTAATAATGTCCCCAAGCTTGCAAGGATGCACATTGTACCAATGGCGTATCTGGTCCCCTGCATAGTACCATCTAAATGAATACCCACTAACATTCCAGTGTAACATGCCATGTAACTTAAAAGAATAAAAATAATTATTCTATATACAAATGTCCCCCTTTTTTCCTTCATTTAAGTTTAAGCAGTGGAAGTACAAGACCACTCAAATGAGAACAAATGGAAGTTCTCATTCAAGCTGCTATCGCAAGGGAGCCCCCCACCATCATTTGCATTTGGCATAGAGTCAAAGGCAGGCAGGTCTAGGGGGAAAAAGGGTAAGTCTCAGGTGGGCTCTGACTGGAGATGGTTGGCCTGAGGAAACTGGGCATGGGCTAACGAGAAGTGGGGCATCCTGGCTATAGTTTGGAGGATATTTGAGTTTCTCTGGTTGATCCTGAATTGGAAAGGTGATGAAACGTGAGAAAGCTGAGGGTTATCGAACAAATCTTGCCCAGTCTGGGGAGATGGCTGCAGAGGTTCTGGTTTGGCGTTGCAGGGTGTTTGCATTCGAGATTCTGTATGAGGTCAGACCGCTGTATATTTGTATATTCAGTGTGTTAAAGGAATTATTGAAGTCACTTGGAAGGAGAGGGAAGAACAGCAAAAATAGTAAGGGTCAAGAAAAATTAACATGAAAGAACATGAAAATATCTTCATAATTGACAGTAGAATAAGGGATTTTAGTTTTTGTTGTTTTTTAGAATAGCTAACTAGAACATGACTTACCATTGGAAATGGCTTAACTTTACTTACCTAGTCCTCTGAAAGCTTAGCTATGTGCTTAGGAAAGACCAGTTTCAGATGGAAAAAAACACATGACTTTAAAGATACTAAGATGTTAAGAAGCATTCAGAAGGTTCTTAGAATATAACTTCAAAAGAATTCTGTTTAGAGCAACAACATTTGGAAATAGGTCTAAATTGAGTAGTTGACAGAGCATGAAAATGGTGCGTTTTCATTGCACGATGAGCTATTGAGAGGCTGTTTTGGGGAAAACAACACTTATACTTAATGAATTTCTTCTAAGAAACTATCATGCAATAATAAAAGCACTTAATCCTACCCCATGATTGAATTTTCTTTTAATAAATTTACTTGATTTGACTATATGGGAAAGGAGTTACTAATTGTAGTAGTATAGTGGACTCTATTTTCTTCTTTTTTAAAAATAAAGTTGACAATATTATATTGGTTTCAGATGTACAACATAGTGACTTCGTATTTATATGCATTACTAGATGTTTGCCATGGGTGTGCAGTTCTTCCTGCTACCATACCAAGATAGACAGTATTATTGGTTAGCTACGTGCTTAGGAAAGACCAGCTTCAGATGGAACAAAACACATGACTTTAAAGATAGTAAGATGTTAAGTATTCTGTATGTTGTACTTCCAGTCCTATGACTACCGTATTTTACAATTTGTAATTTGTACCTGTTTATCCCCTTCCCCTATTTCACCTGAATCCCCAAACCTCTCCCTGTGCCAACCAAAAATCTGTTCTCATATTTACTGGTCTATTTCTTTTTTGTTTGTTTGCTTTGTTTCTTAGATTCCACATATAAGTGAAATCATATGATATTTGTCTTTCTCTGCCTGGCTTATTGCATTGAGCATAATACCCTCTAGGTCATGCTGTATGTTGTCACAAATGGCAAGATTACCATCATTTTTATGACTGAGTAATATTCCATTGTATACATGTACCACCTCCTCTTTATCCATTCATCTACAGATGGACACTTGGATTCCTACCATATCTTTGCTATTGTAAATAATATTGCAATAAACATAGGTGTGCATATATCTTTGCAAATCAATGATTTTGTTTTCTTCATATAAATTACAAGAAGTGGAATTGCTGAGTTGTATATTTCTGTTCTTAGTTTTTTGAGGAACCTCTGTATTGTTTTCCACAGAGGCTGGAACAATTCACATTCCTACCAACCGTGTAGAAGAGGTTCCATTTCTCTGCGTCCTCACCAACACTTGTTATTTCTTGTCTTTTGGACAGTGGCCATTCTGACTGGTGTGAGGTGGTATCTCACTGTGGTTTTGATTTGCATTTTCCTGATGATTAGTGATATGGAGCATCTTTTCAGGTGGCTGTCTGCCATCTGTATATGTCTTATTTAGAAAAATGTCTGTTCAGGTCCTCTGCCCATTTTTTAATTGGATTATTGGGGGTTTTGGTGTTGGGTACTATGAGTTCTTTATATATTTGTATATTAGCCTCTTACAGGCTACATCATTTGCAAATACATTCTCCCATATGGTAGGTTGCCTTTTTGTTTTGTTGAGGGTTTCCTTTGCTGTGTTTTTTAGTTTGATATAGTCCCACTTGTTTATTTGTACTTTTGTTTCCCTTGCCCATGGAGACATATCCAGAAATAAATTTCTAATGTTGATATTCATGAGATTCCTGCCTGTATTTTCTTCTTAGAGTTTTATGGTTTCAGGGCTTATATTTAGGTCTGTAATCCATTTAAAGTTTACTTTTGGGTGTGGTTCTAACAGTAATCCAGTTTCATTCTCTTGCATGTAGCTGTCCAGTTTTCCCAGCACCGTTTATTGAGTGGACTGCCTTTCCCCATTGCATAGTCGTGGCTCCTCTCACGTATATTAATTGACCACATGAACATGAGCTTATTCCTGGGCTCTCTAGTCTGTTCCTTTGATCTATATGTCTGTTTTTGTACCAGAACCATACTGTTATGATTACTGTAGCTCTGTAGTGTATCTTGAAGTCAGGGAGCATAATATCCTCAGCTTTGTTCTTTCTCAGGATTGTTTTGGCTATTCAGGGTCTTTTGTAGTTCCATATGAGTTAAGATTATTTGCACTAGTTCATTAAAAAATGCCATTGGTATTTTGATATGGCTTGCATTAAACTGTAAATTGCTTTGGGCTGGATGGCCATTTTGATAATATTAATTCTTCCTATCCATGAACATGGGATAGATTTCCATTTATTTGTGTCTTCTTTAATTTCTTTCATCAGTGTCTTATAGTTTTCAGAGTACAGGTCTCTCATCTGCTTGGTTAGGTTTATTCCTAGGTATTTTGTTCTTTCTGATGCTGTTGTGAATGAAATTATTTTCTTGATTTCTCTTTCTGCTTGTTCATTGTTAGTATATAGGAATGCAACCAATTTCTGTATTTTGACTTTGTATCCTGTGATTTTGATGAATTCAGTTATTAGTTCTAAGAGTTTTATGGGGGAGTCTTTAGAAATTTCTATACATAATATCATGTCATCTGCAAATAGTGGCAGCTTTACCTCTTCATTACCAATAGAAGCCTTTTTTCTCTTTATCTTATCTGATTGCTGTAGCTAGGACTTCCAGTGCTATACTGAGGAAAATGATGAGAGTGGACATCCTTGTTTTCTTCCTGATCTAGAGAAAACCTTTCAGGTTTTCTCCATCAAATATGATAATGGCTGTGTGGGTTTGTCATATATGGCCTTTATCATATTGAGGTATATTCACTGTGTTGAGAGTTTTTATTATAAATGGATGTTGAATTTTGTCAAATGCTTTTTCAGCATCTATTGAGATGGTCATGTTTTTTCTCCTTCCTTTGATTAATGGGATTTATCACATTGATTAATTTACAAATATTGTACCATCCTTGCATTCCTTGAATAAATCCCATTGGATGTGGTGCATAATCCTTTTGATGTAGTTTTGTAATTAGGTTTGCTAATATTTTGTTGAGGATTTTTGTGTCTATGTTCATCAGTGATATTGGTTTGTAGTTTTAGTTTTTTGTGGTGCCATTGTCTGTTTTTGTAATACTGCCCTTATAAAATGAGTTTGGAATAGTTCCCACCACTTCTATTTTTTAGAATACATTAAAAAGGGTACGTATTAGGTCATCTTTGAACGTTTGGTAAAATTCACCTGTGAAGCCATCTGGCTCTGCACTTTTGTTTGTTGGGAGTTTTTTTATTACTGTTTTAGTTTTATTACTCGTAATTGGTCTGTTCAGATTTTCTGTTTCTTCCTGTGTCAGCCTTGAAGGAGTGTGTGTTTCTAGGAATTTTTCTGTTTACAGGTTGTACAATTTATTGGCAAATAACTTCACAAAGAATTCTCTTACAACTCTTTGAATTTTTGTGATGTGTGTTGT